AGTGTGCATCATGTATATCTCATATTTTTGTTAAATCCATCTAGCAATCCTACCCCTCAAGAGAAACAGCCACCTCTTTTAAAAGTTCTGTACTTTTAAGAAAGTGATCAAAGTTCAGGAAGGGATCATTTCAATTATTTCCAGAAGGGTTAAAAAGATGACAAGAAACAGAGTAATGAATATCATCATTAGAATTATTTATTAAGAACAGAAAGGCCACGTAATAGCACAAAAATAGGGAACATAAGAGAGTTTTACACTGGTCAATGTTGTTTTTGTTGTAAACACAGCTGCTCTCTTTTTTGTGTGATGACGGACTTTTCTTTTTTAAAAAATATTTTAGTTTTTAGTTGTAGTTGGACACAACACGTTTATTTCACTTATTTATTTTTATGTGGTGCTGAGGATCCAACCCAGGGTCTTGCACATGAGAGGCAAGCCATCTACTGCTGAGCCACAACCCCAGCCCATGATAAAACTTTTCTACAGAAATATTATTTTGAAATTATTCAGTGCGTGGGGCTGAGGATGTAGCTCAGTAGGAGAGCACTTGCCTAGCATGTGTGAGCTCCACATAAAAATAAATAAACAAAATAGAGGCATTGTGTCCATCTACAGCTAGGAAAAAATATTCAGTGGGCAAAATATTATTGCATTCTTCCTTCCTGGTTTCTTTCTAGATATCTTTGCAAAGAAAAAACCAAATAGGATTGTTTTCTTTCTTTTGTCTTAACTTCTGATTTGACTTTTCCTTGCAATTGATTTTCACTCTCAACACTGTCCTGTCCTTCAATGCACCCCTGGTAAGATTCTTCTGCCTAGCCCTGAACTGTCTTTGCGGGGTCTCGGGAGAGCGAGCCGGTGCTCGAGCCCCACAGACGTGTTGTTGGTGGAATTGCTACTTGAGGGGAATTTGAGGAAAACTTCCTGATACCTTCCCTGAACTTGGTTTAGTAAAATGTGTCCCACCCTGTCACCTGGGCCCCCACGACACTGTTTGCATCGGGAAATCAAAGGTTCAGTCAAACCCCACAGGTGATCCCCGGAAGGCACCAAGAGTGGAATTTTAAAAACTGTCCACAATGGTCCTCACTACTGACAGTTGCTGTGACAAGCCCTTCTGATAGTGGATGAACATCCTCCTGTGTCCTGGGAGGCAGATGTCCACCAGCATGAAGAAGCCGGGGGCCTTGGAGACTCAGGGAACTTGCCTAGGACCACAATCAAGCATTGATGAGCTAGGAGGGATCTGAGCCCAGGTTTGAACAGCCCTACACCCCCCCACACACACACACACTCATACACACACACACACACACACACTCACACACACACCTCAGGGGACAGAGTGTGGTGGAGCCCACCAACCCCTAACCCATGTGGTGACTCTGAGGGTGCCATGGTTGACAGAGTGGGCAGGAGCTATTGGATATGGAAAATGAAAACCCCCCAAATAATGAGGCCTGGGAAAAGGGAATGAAAAAGCCAGACTTTCTCAAGGTAAATCTCTTTCAGATGCTGGCCGCAGGCAGGGGAAAAAATGTGTCATCAATCCTAAAGTGGTAGTCTCTAGGGAGCACTAATCTCTTCCAAGACAATGCCTCTCCAGGTGCTGGCCACTGACCCCCAGCCCCAAACTCAAATTCCTCAGTGCCCAGACTGACACGCTCACTAAGTCACCCACAACCTAGATAAGCCCAGTCCCCTCCTTTGTTCAGTGGCTCATTTTCCACCAGGAAAGTGGGTCTGTTCCCGTAGGTGTGGTCCCGATCCGGGGTAAAGGCTGAAATGATCTATGAAGTGTGCACCCGGTAAGCCCGTCTCTTTGTGCTAATGTTCTGCTGAATGAACTATGATTTGGTGGCACTAGGACTGTTCCAACAATGATTATCACCAAATTTAAATTAGGATGTACTTTAATAAATACAATAGTAGGTTACTATCCCTTAAAATATGGAATGCTCAATTAAATTGAGGAGAAAAACGTTGGGCCGCTAGTGGATGAATGGGTGGAGACACGGTGGGTAACTTATAATCACACTGAGTCACACAGACACAAATGTTAACGTCTAGCCCATAAACGTAAGAAAAGTTCAGAGTCACTAATAATCAAAAATTATAAATTGAAGTCACAGGATATAATTTTAGTCTATACAAACAGCATAGCCTAGAACCAATACAATTGCAACTTTTTCTGTATTCTTTTCTTTTCTCTCTGGGGGTTGTGTGCTGGGGGTTGAACCCAAGGCCTCATGCATGCTAGGCAAGTGCTCTATGACAGAGCCCCACCTCCAGCCAGTGTGAGTTTTCCAACCAGCCGGAGTGGTAAGAAGGGCACACACAGATGCTGCCGAGAGGAGAAAGGCCTGTTTTTACCCTTCTGGGAAGGTCAAGAGCTTCACACCCTTGCTCTGTCCTGCAGTGAAGGGTGATCTGCTGGCGCTCATTTTCTATGCTGAAAAGAGAACTTTAACCTCCTTTTGCCTTTTGTGGATGTCACAGAGAGGGTGTCTTCACCAAGAATCCCGACTGTAAATGCAGCCGTGCACCCTCTGGAGCCCTTTCTCATCAAACAAGCAGTTGTGAGCAGTAACAGCTATACATCACCCTCAGAAGGAAAAGATGCCATTCTCCATCCCCAGACGCTCCCAAGGCCCTGTCAGAGCTGGGTCCTCAGAAAGCATCGCTTCCTTCTCTTGGCAGTTGCCTGCCTTTACGAAATCGCCCTTTGATGGCATGTATTTGGCTTACCCTGAGAAGTGAACGTTAGAAACCTTCCTACTGCACTTACGAATGGGATGTCATTGAGGACACCTCACCCCGCGACCTCCCAGAACGAATCAGGAAACAGTGTACGTCTGAATACCTAGGAAACCATAAGCTCGACCCTTATTGCTAAACAGTTTTTTTTTTTCTTTTTGCTTTGACTTCCAGAAAACTCAGAAACAAATGTATGCCTTACCTTTAGCAATGGCACCAGCCCTCATGGGAAGTGTCTGAGCTTTCCAATATGGCTCTTCTCTCCTTACTATATTTACCCTGTTCCAACCATCCGTAGTTATTATTTCAACCTCTAGTATTTACTTTGTTTTGGTGAACCACATCAATGATGGAGATATAAATAAATATAAGTTAAAAATATCAAAAGAAACATTCAAAAGCTCCTGTTAGATGTCAAGGAGGCCTTCTGAAAAAGTCTGGAAACCACAGGTCAGTTCTGAGAGCTTTTCAATGAGACTTTGTCCTTTTTCTCACATTGATTCCACGTCACTTTTAAAGCAAATGTTTGATTTCATGTTCTGTATTACTGGGAGACCTGAGAAACCTGGGCATCTCCCCATGTAGACTTGATCTCTGTTATTAATTGTTTATTTAACTAGGAGAACCCATCCATAAACTATCTTTAGTTCCTTATAGGAAAGATTTTTGTCAGCTATTATTATATTATTTTACATTTATATATTTGTTTATGGACCAGATATTTCTTGAGCGCCCGCTGTCTGTGCACAGTTTGTGATCCTGGGGAAGATGCATAATAACTCTGTAGGAGTCTGGTCCCTTCAGCTCTCAGGCTGGGAGACCCCGAGGCCAGGGCTGTGACTTACCCACTGAGCAGTCTCAGGCCACTAAGAGGCCTTCAGTAAATGTTTGGTTAAATAAATGATGAATGTAAAATTCTTCCTCAAGCCTTGCTTTTCAATTTTTTATTTTTTAGTTGACAAATAATTTTTTGTATTTGTGGGATACAATGTGATGTGATCTATGTATGCATTACGCAGTGACGAGGACAAGCTAACTAACATATCACCACCCTGCAGACTTTATAATTTTGTGTGGTGTTTTGTTTCAGTTTTGTATTTAAAGGTTACCCTTTTAGCAATTTCCTTGGTAGGGGGTGGGTGTTATCATTGTTTTTGTTACTAGAAATTGAACCCAGGGCCTCGATCATGCTGAACAAGTGTTCCACCACTGAGCTACATCCACACTTTTAACAATTTTGAAATATACAATACATTATTAACTATTAACTCCAGTCACGAGGCTGTGTAGTAGGTCCTGAAAGTTTATTCCTCTTAACTGAAATTTTGTACCCTGCAGTTGTCACCACCCAGCCTCTGGTAGTCCCCATTGTGCTCAATTTGATTGAGCATTCCATATTTTAATCATTCCACTATTGTATTTATTAAAAGTACATCCTAAAAAAGAACATCCTGGTGATAATCATTTGTTGGAACTGTCCTAGTGCCACCGAATCATAGTCTATTCAGCAAAATCCGTAGGTAAGTGAAATTAACTTTAAGAATTTGTTACATGATGATCGGGTTGGACTGCAAGATAATTCCAGTAAGAATATGGCTGGATGAGCAAAATCTATAAATAGTCTTGGAAAGTGCTGGGGCTTGGCTTATAATAGTGAAGTCCATCAAGAGGGCCTTGGGACCACAGGAAATGTTTTCTTTGTAATAAAAAAAGAAAACACCTCATTCCAAAAAGAGTTGGCAGCATCTCAAGTCGGGTACTCAAAACTAAATTGAGAAATGAGGGATGGTGGGCTGAAGAGATGGTGAAATAGCCATGCGCTGAAATTCTCTAGAAAAATACATGGTTTTGTTTTGTACACATTTTGCAAAGAAAGTATTCTTCCATCTGTTGTATTTTATGGATATATCCATACCACAGATTAAGGGAAGGAAGGAAGGAAGGAAGGGAGGGAGGGAGGGAGGGAGGAAGGGAGACAGACAAAAGTGAAAATTTCCATGTTCAAGCAAAGCTTCAGTGATTCTTTTTGAAATTTCCTTGCTTTTTGTTTTATTTTTTAAATTTTCTTAGTACTGAGGGTTGCACCCAGGGCTTCACACATGCTAGGCAAGTGCTCTACCAGTAAACTACATCCCTAGCCACTTTCAGTTTTATTTTGAGGCAAAGTCTTGCTACATTGCCCAGAGGATAGGCATGTGCCACCAAGCCGGGCAGTTCCTGCTCACTATTACAAGGCGACATTCTTAAAGGACTTATGGGATAGCTCTCCTTTTCCCCAACGCATCCCAGGATGAATTCTTTTTTTTTTTTTTTTCCTTTTTGTGGTGTTGGAGATTGAACTGGGATGAATTCTTAATATGTAAATAATAGGGACACTTCTATAGGACAGGCTGATAGTCCCTTGTAAGTCATCTTTGCGTCTCCAACAATTCACATTCCTTTCTAAGAAGAAAACGTTTTCCTCTGACTAATCAGGAGCACAAGGTTTGACAAGAAGACCTAAGGGAGAGACAGTGGGGAGTGGTGTTGAAGACATTAGTGCAAACAGTTTAAGATATCACCTCTCAAAGATAGTCCTGGGTATCATGGTGCAAGGAGGGGCTTGGGGTCGGGCTCTGCGGGTCCCGGTCCAGCTGGGCCTTCCATGCTCCGTAACCTTACTAAACCTCTGGAAGCTCCACTTCCTTCACCTTTCATGGCCGAGTAACAGTGTTGATTCCTAAGGTTGTTAAGACATGAAATGAGACAATGTGTGTAAAACGTGGGGCTTGGTGCCTGGAAGAGAATAAGTGTCCTAAAAGGTGAGCTGTCACGAAGCCACAGTGGCCAGGTGGATCGTGGGGACTGCGCGTCTTGTTGCTATTACTAATTCCCAGGAGGAACAAAGGAACTGATTTTTATCTCAGGTGAGCTGCAGGTGGGAAAGCAGAGAGGTGTTTTCAGAACATGTTACCTTTTCCCACGGAGATAGCTTCCGATCCTCAAGAGTGTCCTCAGGACCTCGAGGTCGGAGAGGAAGGGGCAGCGTGCCCACCTGAAGTTGGCTCTGGCTTTTCCTCAAAGACCTTCAGCAGCGCTTCTTTCAGGGACTTTCTACTTTTCTTTCTCCTAAGACCACCCACCACGAAATAGACAATTGGATTCACACTGCAATTGATGGTGGACAGCAGGTTCAGATAGGGGAAGAACTTCCACACAGACTCGTCGCTGGGGTTGGAGTAGTAGACGATGATGAACAGGACCTTCATGGGCATGGCGAAGACCAGGAACAAGACCACGGTGGCCGTGACGATCACATAGAGCTTGGCCGGTTGACGGGACTTGAGGTGGCAGCAGACCTGGACGGAGAGGATCAAGTTGGAGAAGATCATGAGAGGAACGAAGACAAGGAAGGTCAAGACCCAGGAGAAGGCGTACACGTATCGGCACTCTGGGAATCTCGGCTCCGCTGCCAGAAGGCAGAAGAAATTTTCCAGCCCCGATACCAGCACCGAAAGAGCCCACAGCAGTGCGCAGGCCACGGCCGACTGGTGCCTCGGGCGGCGGCACTGGTACCAGATTGGGTAGAGCACCGAGAGGCAGCGCTCCACGCTGATGGCAGTGAGCAGGTGCAGACCCGTGTTGTAGCCGAAGATCATGAGGAGGAGGACGTAGCTCAGCAAGGTGTCATCGTGCAGGTGGAGGCTGTCCACCAGCTGGAAGATGGACGAGCAGAGAAGGACCATCAAGTCGGCAATGGCCAGATGCAGAATGTAGACGGTGAACGGCTTCCTCTTGACGCAGAAGATGAGAAACAGTATCAGGAGTCCGTTCCCAGTGACTCCGGGGACACAGATGAGCAGGGAAAAGTAGACATGGCCGTGCTCTCTTTCGGCCTCTGACAGGGGCTCCCTCACCTGCTCTGATGACCAGGTTGTTCCATCCAGGGAGGCGTTTCTGGGAATCAGTGTGGGTTCCGAAGGATGCAGGGTCACTGCCCATGGCTCCATTCTTGGGTATCGCTGGTTTCCTCCTGCACACCTGTGGTCAGAAATGGAAGATGGAGCTGATGGTGTCGTCTGCTGTGCATCCCACAGTGAGTTGGTTTTTGATCCTCCCTCACAGTGGTGTGGGAGGAAGTGTGCTGCTGTGTTTCCCATCTTCTTCCCCCTTTCCTCTCCCCTTCTGTTCTCCGCCCAGGCAGATTCCACTGTGGTCTCCAGGTTTCCTCCACTGAACCCAAGGCTGGGCTTCTAACCTCACCTCCAGCCATCGCCTCCAACCAGGATTCTTTCTCTCTGGCCCTGTGGAAAACCCCACTGTGTTCCTAATTTGTCCCCTGCCTTCCTGAAAGAGATTTCTAAGGGTTCTTATCAAAAATAGAGGACAGAACTAGGAGAAAGGATCCAAAATAAAAAAAGGATAAAAAACATACCAATGATCAAAAGCCCATGCACAAAGAAGTAAGCGCTCATGGTTGTGTCTAGAAACTTCTGCCCCATCTCTCTCTTGAGATACTCCTCCTTTCCCATGCCTTGGCTTTTGTTTATAATATCCACATAACCCCCAACAGTTTCTATGTACCAGTAAACACAATTAACAGCTGTTTGTGTCTTTCTCTCCTGTACATTGAGGGTCATCCTCTTGGGCTTAGCTGACAGGACGATCCAGCTGCCAATAGGAGAGAAGGGGAGAGGGAGGGAGGAAGAAAAGAGGCTCGCTCTGTTGAAGTGGGGTTCGGGGGACAAGGGCTACCTAGGAGGGGCGGGCATGCAGGATTGTGGGGTCAGGGCCAGGACTGCCTGGTCCACACTTCTCTGTCCTTACCTCGTGTCCTGGTTGCCTGAGGATTCACTCACCCCAACCCACTGAGACATGGGTAGGAACAGGATTCAGGGAAGGGCGTACAGGGCTTTCTAGATTGTTTCTCTGTGGACTCTTGACAGCAAAGGATAAGTCGTCTCATCTTGACAGATGGGACTGTGTTAAGAGTCACTTGTCAGTCTTCCTTGGAAACTTGGAACACATTTTCTAAGACTTGGCTGGATGTCCAGGACAGCCAGTGAACCTTAGCTATAACCAATTGAGATACTATGAAATATGTATTTGGTCTTTTCTCTTTTCCCGGCATACACTCCTGAAATCCTTGGAATCTCCAAAGTAATGTGTCTTTTGCATGCTAATGAAGTGGCTGGTGGCTGTCAGCTTCAGGATATGGCTGGTCACTGAAAGACCAAGGCAGGATGAGAGGATTGGGACTTTTAGCACCATCCTGCAACCTGCAGGGAGGGGAGAAGGGTTGAAGGTTATTGATCACCAATGACCAGTGATGTCACCAATCATGCCAATGTAATGCACCCCCATAAAACCTGGGGGACAGGTCCACAGAGCTTCAGATTGCAGAACACATGGAGGTTCCCAGAGAGGGTATGGAAGTCTGTGTCCCTCTAGACCTCACTCATGTACCTCTCCATCTGCATCCTTTGCAACATCCTTTAAAATAAACCACTAAATGTAAACGTTCCCCTGAGTTCTGTGAGCCACTTGAGCAAATTAATAGAACCCAACGAAGGTTCAATCACAGGGACCCTGGTTCATATGTGAGACAGAAAGTGAAATTTCCTGGGGTTTGGGACTGGCATCTGAAGATGGGGAGCAGTGGTGGGCACCAGTCCTCAGCTGGTGCCATCTGACACTGTCTCCAGGTGGAGGCTGGAACTGGAGAACTCACTAGAATTGGAGGACACCTGGGAGGTGCCTGTGGCTGCAGAACTGATGGCCTGCTTGCTGGTAGGGAGAATCCCCAGTCCTCTTGGGGTCCCAGCCTTCTGTGCGGCTTGCTGTAAGAACTGAAGGAAAGTGGTTTGCTCTCCCCATTCACAGCTGTGCAAGGGGGAAACAGCCTCAGCCAGGACCTGCCCCCTCTGGCCTCCTCCCACCCTGGGCTGGCTTCACTTGTGCCCCTTCTTGTCTCTGGGTCCAGTAGTGGCTCTGGGGTTTCCCTCTCCACCACCACCAATCACAGTGGCTGGTGAGAACGTCCTTCTACCCCTGCCTTCCCCGGCTCCTCTTCTCCCCAAGCAGCCACAGGCCCAGGGCATTCCTGTGGCTTACCTTGTAAGGCTTCATGGGAAGGGAACGGGCAGGAGAGCCAATTACTGGAAGTCTCAGAAGCACACTGTCCCTCCTGTCCCAGGCAGTCTGTGGCTTGGCCCTTCTCTGAGTCCTTCCTGCTCCTTTTCTACCATCCACATCTTCCCCTCTTACTCTGGCAAACCCAATCCACCCTGGAAGAGGAGCCTCTGCTTCAACTTCTTTTGCATTTTTCTGAATGCCAAAAGTAATAACTACTTATTTCACAGACTTTGCAAAAAGAATAAAAGAAAATCAATTTTCCCATTTCACCACCCCAAGATAAATTCTTTTATTTTTAATCGACACATAGTAACTATACATGATTATGGGGTATGCTGTGGTTTTCTATACACATTTAATGTATACAATGTGTAATGATCAGGTCAGGGTCATTGGTTTATCTGTCATCTCAGATATTTATCATTTCTTTGTGTGGGGATTCAAATTCCTACCTATTGTTTTTGGGACTGGGGATTGAACCCAGGGGCACTTAACTACTGAGCCACACATCACCAGCCCTTTTTATTTATTTTGAGACAGAGTCTCACTGCATTGCTTACAGCCTTACTAAGTTGCTGAGGCTGGCTTCAAACCTGTGATCCTCCTGCCTCAGCTTCCTGAGCTGTTGGGATTATAGGCATGTGCCACTGTGCCCAGCCCTCTCTACCTATTTAAAAATATTAAATTATTCATTGTCAACCCAAAGATAACTTCCGTTAATTTGTTCACAAGTCGTGGAAACTATAGTCTATGTAGTTTTACACCTGCCTTTTTAACTTAATATCATATCATCAACATTTTGTTTCTATTAAAATTTCTTCAAAAATATGACTGCTGATGAATGACTACATGATGATATTTAATCTTTTTTTTATTATTTTAAAATAATTCCCCTATTAGAAAACATCTGCAGTTAATAAGCCTCCATAATTTCAGTAGAGGGTGTACCCTTGTATATCTGTCTTATATTTCTGATCACTTCCTTGGGACGAATTATTACAAGAACAATTACTCAGATGGGATTTTAAGGCTTTGAGACAGAAAAACATAGTGGTCATGACCATGGGCTTTGGGTTCAGAGATTTGGGTTTGACATGCACCTCCAGGTTACTAATTATCTGACCTCAGGCAAATTGTTGGTCTCTTCAAATCTCTGTTTCCCTGTCTATACAATGGAGACAATGGTGGTACATCCCATGGGTGTCGAGAAGAGTGATAATCTCATTCTTTAGAGAGCTCCTCATTCTTTAGAGAGCTCCTACACTATGTCCCGAACCAGAGCAAATGTTGAATGCATGTCAGTCCCCACTCTGACCATTTTCAAAATAATTTGTTTCCAGAAGCTGCTCAAGAGAGAGCTTGCACAATTCAACCTTTCAGTACTAGGCATCTTCCTAAAACAATACAAAATGGTGAAGGAAAAATTGACATCTAAATGTTTTGATTGGCATGCCTAATGATTAGTGAGGTGTACGTTTTCATAAGCCTGTTACTAATATTTTTTGTTTCTTCCTGGGTATGTCGCTCTGTGTTTCCATTTTTCTTCTCAGGTGGGGGCCGCTGTTCTCACTGACCTGTAAGAATGCACCAGCTCTTTTGTGCTCTTCCTCCTCTCCACCGGAAGCTAAGGCCCTTGGGCCAGCAGCTTGGCCTCAGAGCTGCTCCCAAAAAGGGGTGAATGTTGAATGTTCCTCACCCAAGCTCAGTTCTCTTTCCTTCCTTCCCGTCCACTAAGTCAGCAGCCACAAGGACCCTGCCAGGGGCCCAGGGCAAAAGGAGAGCAGGAAGGGAAGGAAGACCTTACAGGGGATATTTTCCCACCAGGCCAGTATCCCTGAGGGAGCTCCGAGCAGCAGTCTGCCCAGGGCCAGGCCAGGCCGGGTCTGGAGGCCCTGCAGCCCTGTGTGGTGGCCAGCGCTGCTTACAGCGCGCCTAGAAAGAAATATGAACAAATAAGGGAACGGTGCTCTCTGCATAACACGGCCCACGCTGACTTTCTGCCTGGACTCAGTGCATTAGAAAACAAAAATGTCCTTCCTCGAACTTTATGTCTTATTATTCTTGGTGTGGGAGTGAGCCTGGATTTAAAAGAAAAACAGGGTAAGAGAGTAGAAATAAACCAAGTAAGATTATGCTCTTCATGGGTTGGGTGTTTTCATTGTCTTTTTTCATGTGCTTGTCAGAGGGGTCCTGTGAGGTCAGGGTCATCCCCATTCACCATGGACATTGAGGACTTCGGGCTCCAGGGACCTGCTCCAGCTCTGCAACCTGTTGTCATAGCCTCTCCTGGATGTAGGGGTTTTCTGACTCCACTTCTGCCCCCCCCTCCGTGTTCCATGCACCCCATTCTCCCATCTGCATCATCCCTAACTGTCCCTAGAGATTCTGGTGCACAGAGGGGTGGGAGGGCCAGCAGGTAGGAGCAGTTCCAAGGAGAAGCCCAGTTCATCCTGGAAGTGGGGTAGAGTTTGCAAAATCTTCCATGAAGATTCCAGTGTGTTCTTGTGGTCACAGGGGGGCAGTCACCTTCTTTGCAAAGTCACCCCCATTTCTGCTTTTGACCATGTTGTCTGAAACATGTTATTTATTGGCTTTTCCAGTGTTTACTTTCAGCCTCTCTTGGAGACTATAGCATTCAGGCTCATATTTGTGTGACAATGTTACAGTGAATAATTTTACAATGAGTATGTGGTACTAGAGCAGTACCACATTTTACTATTGGTTCTGTTTAACTTTTCTAAATTATACCAACACTGTGTGTGTGTAGACCCAGTACTCTGCACACACACACACACACACACACACACATGAGCACACCTACACATGCACAGGACAGGAGGGGGCATCCATGAAATGACGGGAGCATTAAGGGGAACAATTAGGTTTCATAGATATTCTTAGGGGACACTCTGTGGTTGCAGCGAGAACAGAATGCTTCTGCTCTAGAACTCAGCAGGCAGAAGGTCAGGGCCCCATGAAGTAGCCCTGGAATTTGGGATTCCCTTAGGGTGGGCTCTCTCCTCCCACCCAGTACATCCCCTTGCTGAGGACTGGGGAGGAAGGGCCCTCCCTACAAACCTGAGTCGCTGTGATCTCTCTGCAGGGAGTGAGAGGGAGTACTCACCGGCCAGGGATTTGGGGTTTTGTTGTGCGGAGCTACTTTGGTGATCCCTAGTTCTTCCCTAGGGCCTGTTATTTCTGCAGATCCTTGTCCAGCAGACAAGATTCTTGAAGACTGGAAGACAGCAGGTCAGTCTGGCAACAGTCTGTTCTCAGGGTCTTATTTTGGCTTCAGATCTGGCCAGTGAGATCTGAAGTCCTGTTGGCCACGCTGGAGGACAGAGGGCGGAGCCAACCCTCCTCTGAGTCCTGTCAATCAATTAGATAGACACTAACTCACCAGTCAGGGCTGTTCTCCTCAAGTCCCAGCCAATCAGAAAACGCCCCATTCTGCCCCCCCCCCCCAGTGAGCCCAAGACATTTCTTGTGGTTCAGATTTTACTCTTTTAAACACGTGTTGTTCTGCACACCTGGCGCTGCGGACTTGGGAAGCCTTTGAGTTCCCCAACATCTCCACACCAAGGACAACCTTGGGGCGCCATGCTCCTGGCCCACGAGCTGTGGCAGGTGTGTGGGTTGGCGAGGCCCACAGCAACCAAGGCACATCCCACCCAGATCCTCACCACCCCACCTCTCTGTGGGTGGTAGTGACCAAAGGGCTTGGGGTGTGGGATGCAGAGTGGGAGGGGACATTCCTGGGGGATTGTCTTTGCTGGTGACTGGAGAAGAGGCGCTGTCAGCCCTGCTGCTCCCCACCTGTTCTTTCTTGGGGTTGCAGGGCTCACCTGTGACCATGAGATACCAATGAAGGGGTTGAAAGGAGGCTTGCAGAAGGAACTGGATTCTGACTGGACAGCTCCAGCGAGGCTGGTGCCACCAGCTCCGGTGGAGCCATGTGGAGCCATGTTTTGATGGTGTCACTGTGGTCAGCTCTGTTCCTTGTCCCTGAAACCACACCAGGCAGGTAATTATTTTCGATATATTTTAAAAAATCAAATGGTAGGGGCAAAAGACAAGCTCCCTGCTGTGAGTGATCCCCTTTGTGATTCCCCTTTGTGATCCCCTCCCCTTGAGTGGGGGGAGAACTTGTGGCTTGCTTTTAACCAATTGAAAATGATCAAGCTGAGAGAACCCTGTTCTGAGAGTCCTCAGGATTGGCTTTAATCACCTACGTAACACATGGAGACGTGAAGATGATTGTCATAAAGGAAGAAGCAGAGGAAGGCATGGCTCTCGGGTCCCACAGGGAAGCACTGGAGTTGGAGAAGAGGCAGAGGGAGAGGGGGACTGTGGGCAACAGGCTTTACTGTGGTTTCCTGGAAAGAACTCAGGTGCCTGGCCCTGGGGCGGTTAGGGCAGGTGGATAGAGGCCCAGAGTGTGAGAGCCCTGTAGAGGCCGTGGTGGTGGGAGGACAGACTCCCATTAGTGAGTTTGCATCTTCTGCAAGACAAACTCTCTATCAAGTCCACTGTCTCCAGAAATGCTAGCCCAGGGAGGGGTTGTTACATGGCCAGCAAGATCCAGGGAGTCAAGCACAGAAGACAGACCCTGAGGACAGGGCTAGGGCAGAGCTGCTGGCGAGGTTACACTGGGCTGCACCATGGTCTAGGCTCTGGGGAGTGGGGCTCCTGCTCTGGGGGCTGCTCACGGGGAGGGCTGCAAGGTAGGGAGCTGCAGGCGGCCTCCAGGACCCAGAGCCTCAGTCCTGCTCTCCCAAGGCTCTGAATAAGAGGATCCCCCTGCTGCGTCTATACCTCAGACACAGTCCACACCTTGACCCCCACCGGTTGAGACCCTGAGCCGAGCTGAGGATCCAGAGCTCAGGATGCATCACCCACAAAACTGACATGATAAATAAGTGTTGTTTTAGGCCACTATGTTTGGAAAACAGCAAGAGAAAATGGATCACTATGGGAATATAGTTAGAAATTAGAGTCTTAAAAGGCTTTTATTTTGCAAAGAGATCCTATTCCTATCACTTCCTGTCCTACTTTTAAAATAGCAGCTATTTTGAATTTTTCAGGAGATTTCTTCTGGACTCATCCCTTCATTTGAAAACAATGGGTGCGCTCTGCCTTTCTTGCTCAACCGTTGATTTCTTCCAGTTTGGGTTCTGCTTCATCTCACCACTTCCTCTCCAGCCCCGACCCTCTCAGGGTAATTAAATCTAGTTTTTAGTCCAGTTCCTTTTTCTCGTAATTCAGTTGCCTTCCCTAAACCTCAGAAGGTTCCAAGACCCCAAGAGGATGCCTAAAAAAGCAGGTAGAATTGAGCCCTATAGATACTGTTTTCCCTATACCTCCAGACCTATGATGATGCTTGACTTATAAAGGAGGCACAGAGATCAGCAACAATAAGTCTTCATAAAATGGAACAATCATAGCAGTACGTTATGATAAAATCTATGTGAGTGTGGTCTTTCTTTCAACATACCTTAAACGGCCAGATGTGGTTGCCTTCGCCTGTAACCCCAGCTGCGTGGGAAGCTCAGGCAGGAAGATCAGTGCAAGCTCAAGGCCAGCCTGAGCCTCCCTGTCTCAAAATTCTAAAAAAGGGGCAGAATGCTCCTGGGTTCAATTCCTAGTACCACAAAATATACGTGCTGTATTTTATCAGGGCAGACAGCTGGACGAGGAAGGTTCAGGGAAGGAGCAGGATGGTGTGAGATTTCTTCATGGTGCTCAGAATTGCGGGACGTGAAACTTATGGGACTGGGGTCATAGCTCAGTATAGAGCAGGTGCCTCGCATGCTCAAGGCCCCAGGTTCCATCCCCTGCACAAAACAAACAAACAAATCAATGAAGGAAGCAAGAATTACTTGTATAATTTTCCATTTGGACTGCAGTTGACTGTAGTTCATTGAAACCCCACACAGTGAACCTTGGATGAGGAACGGGTGGGGACGGCTGTCACAGAAATATTCTCCACCGAAGGTTCGACAGGGGGACTGCGATTGCTTCATATTTTCTCGAAGAGCGAATTCTTATTTTCCACCAGAGTGAAACAGGGCCTCACATTTCAACGTTCACATTTTTCTATCTATTCTTATCTTTTCCTCACATCGTCCTTGTTTTTTCCACTCCGTGTGTCATGTGCCTTAAAATATGTGGTAAAGATGCAAATGTTCTGAGCTATCTGCCTGGGTTTTCTGGGAGCTCTCGCCCTCTGCAGTCAGGCCTTGCTCCCAGCCAGCTGGCCACGCTCGCCTTCCTTGGTCACTTTTCTGTGTTAGGGACCCTCTGGTTTATTTTTCCTATAGGCCATCCCAAGGGGCTTCCAAAGACAGGGCGTAAGGGAGGTGAATTTCGTATGGAACAGAGAGACATGAGCAGTGGGAACATGAAATCACTGGAACGCTTTTATAAAGTGGGCCCCCTGTGCAGACCCCCACAAGCTTTCTCTTAGGAAGCAATTCACCTGCAGCCCTGCCGGCTTTAAGTAGACAGAACATGTCACATTCCTTAGAAAACAACTTGTTATCTTCAGAGGAAATGCAGGCTTGAAATGCTGATAAAAAAAAATTTACCCTGAAAGTGTCGGGGGATTTTTGTGACAAGATTGCAGAACTCAGGGACATAAGGATGATTTCCCTTAACTATAAAATCTGTAAAAGCAGGTCCCAATTAGAACTGATCAGCACGAGCCAAAGTGACCTAGGGCTGTCATGGCAGTGGGGACTTGAAAGTCTGATGTCATCCTGCTGTCAGTCAAAAGTCAAGAAGTGGGCCTGGGCAGGGCTCTGGAAGTTTCCTGAGACCCCTCAATAAAACAGAGGGCAGGAGAGGCTTGCCGACCCTCACTCCTCTGAGAGGGTCCACTTCTTCCTTTCCCCTTCCCTGTCCCTTCTAACAAACTCATGCCTGCTGCCCTGAGCGACACGCCTGCTCTCTTTCTAGTCCAATCACAAGAATTAGGGTTTCAAGGGCGAGAGGGTCTATCTGTGCTGCCTCAGTTTCTGGCAAGGCCTAATGCTCTCTAACAAGTACTAGAAAACTTTTTATTATGGGAAATTTCCAACATATGCCAAAGTAGAGAAAAGAGTGTTGCCGGTGCCCATGCCCCTTTTACCAAATTTCAGCAATTAACACAAGGCCACTAGGGCTTCAGCTTGAACCCTGCCCACTGGGTATTTTAAGGCACTTCCCAGGTATTGCATAACTTCATCTGTAAATATTTTATTACACAATTATAAAACAGAAAGGCAAAACCAAAACACAAAAACATCCTAACCACACTACCTTTACCATAGCTGGGAAAATAGCAGTGTTCTCTAAAGTCATTAAGTATCCACTTGGTGTTATAATATGTAAAATACAGCTTGTTGTGGGAGTCGACATCCAGATAAGATTCATTTATGATTCTACACGTCTCTTAAGCCTCCGTTAGTCTTTAGGTGTCCCCCCGTCCCCCTGCCACGCACACACACCTTTTTTTTTTTTTTTCTTGCAGTCTTTGTTGAAAAAACTTGCTCATTGGTTTCATGGAGGGTTCTGAATTCTGGACCTTTGGCCCACATCTCCAGGGAGCTCAGCCACCACCTGGTCTCCGTGTGTGAGAACCTCAGTTTGTTTCACATCCAGTCTCTCTGGGGGATTATTTCCTGGGTGTGCACTTCCAGCCACCAGGTTGTCTCGCCTCTGTGCTGCTGTTGGCCATTGATGGTGATCACCTGGATCAGATGGCGGTGGTCCTCCTTCAGCCCCGCCGCCAAGGGACTCTTGGCAACTTCTGGAGACATCTTTGATCACGGTGCCCGGGGAGGGTGGGTGCTCCTGGCACCCAGTGGGAAGAGCCGAGGATGCTGCTGAACACCTGGGAGGCACAGGGTGGTCTCCCCCGACTCCCACCTACAGTTTTCTGGCCAACCTTGCCATTGGTGCAGGGTCTACGATCACTTTACGGAGTTTCAGTGATGTCCTATGTCTCCTATTCCTTCCTCACTTATTAGCTGGAACAAGTTCAGTGTTTTGCCAGACTTACTTCCTCTACGCCTTCTCTCTCTTTCATTATTTTTTTTTGTTATTGTTGAAAAACTTAGAAGCAAATCCCACACATTGTGTCGTTTCTCTCTTACACTCTCAAAAATATTTGGCATCCTCTTACATGATCATAATGCCATTGTCACAATCAGAACTAGCAGTGCTCTTGGTCCTTCTCCGCTTTCTATTCAAATTTACCTCACTATCTCAAATACGCTGCTCACCCCCTTTTCTTTTTCCATATCAAGAT